TGGGAAGATGATTCAAAGTGCTGACCCAGGTTCCTTCCCTGAATCCAACCAGTATAAACCCAGCGCGTTTATTGACAACAGGAAGTCTCAGCAGCTGAGTCAGCGAAGACAGGAACTTCAATTTTGCTGGTGTGAGAGTCCACGCATTTCGGTCTGCATTTTCTCAAAATATGAAATACTTAAATAAATAAATAAATAAATAAATGCAAAATCGAGCGACGGATCCTCGCTTCTGCTGAATCTATCCCGTACATTGGTACAGTGATGCCAATGAAATCACCACTGGTAATGAATTTGGGTGCCATTGTGTAGGCACGTATGTCTCTATTTCAGTGAGTCAAATATATGCCTGTATGTGTACGCATTTCGCTCGTTGCATGTACAGACACATGCACACATATTCTGTGTTTGAACGCTCAGGCAAAGCAGAAAGGTTGGCTTCCTAAGGCATTTTCTGTGTTTTCTGGCAGGCAGCTGTACCCAGGTTAACCTGATCTTTACCACATAATTTTAGTCCAGGGAATGTGATTATAAAACTTTCCCATCCATGCAGCTCCTTAACCCAAACTCATGATACTGAAGTATGGATGGATTCCATTCTCAATGTGTATGTGTGTGATGAATTCAATGGACGGGAGGATTTTAGAACCACAGAACAATGTTTTTATTTCTATTTTTTTTCTATTTTTTTTTTTTTTTCTTCCACAAGTGAATTAGCAGAAGGGTAACCATTGGCCAAAATAGCTGGAGCCATCAGAACTGACTGGGACTGATCTCCTTGAGCCAAATATGAACCTCAGAGACCCACCACAGACTTATATATTAAAAAAAAAAAAAAAAAAAAAAGACTCAGCAAAACTCTCCTTGTTTAATGGTATTTTGAGGCACCCAAAACATAGCAAAGTTAGCGCGTAATTCTGAAAAATTAAATCAACGTTAGTGGAACAAAATATACAAGTGGATTATTCAAGGAGAGCCATGCATTTGTTCCTCTGGGCTCAAAGGTCTGAGCGAAAACCACACACACAAACAAGAAAAAAGACAGTTGAAGGCCAATTTACACCATAACAGGGTTTCTTAATCTGTTCTAAGCAGACCTCACAGGAGAAAGTTGATAAAATACTGCAACAACCTTTTTTCCTTTGGATCCAACAAACCCTCAGCAGAAATTGTGTTGCATGTCATGTCCTACCTACAAAGTGTATATCCCACCAGCAAAACCCATCTGGAAATAAATACTGGAACTCATCTGGCACCTCATTTGATATCCACTAAACCAATGAATGAAATCCAGTGACTCTGGCTATCACAGAAACATAAATAGAAAATAAATACATAAATATTATTTTTATTTTTATTTTTATTTTGAAGAATAAACACAAGTCAGAGCCCTGAGGAGCTCTGTGCCAACTTTGCTTCCCTCATTTTATAATCTTAGCAATGAACTTCAACTCTTCTCTTTTCTCTGGAGTATTCTTTTGCCAAATGCACAGGGAAGAGCAGTTTTGCCTAAATTTATAATCTATGATATTGCCATGGTTCCTAGCTTTACTGCAACTCTTACAGAATGTCCTGGTAGAAAAACTACTGTGATGAAATTGGACCTCCATCACATTTATTGGTTATATGTCCGGTAAGAAGCAAATGGAAATTCTGATGTTAACTTCTAAACACGACGAGCCTTTTAGCTGAGATTTGTATATACTGAATCATCTCAAAATTTTACTGCTCTGAAGTTCTTCATCCATATCACACGCACCACGTAACTTTCTGAAATGTTCCTGATATTGTTTGGTTATTTGATTAAAAAGAACAGAAAAATTAAAATGACTAATACTGGCAAATAATATGCCAAATAGGATTAATATGGAATGGCCTCATGGGCAGCCATTCCACCTTGTTATTCAGTGTTTTAAATTGTTAAAATTGTACTCTGGTCCATTTAGAAATTTGTGAAGTTATACCATCGTTATAAATAGATTTTTCCCCAATAATTATTAGAACTAACTGGGAAATTTCACCCAAATATGTATTCCTCCTAAGAAGCAGAATACTTTAGAAAATAGCTCCATGCAGTTAGTTATTCTGTGGAACTGACTGAAAAACTTTCCTGAGAGCCATGGCGATTGATTTCGGAAATGTTTCATTTCAAACATCAATTTTTTTTTCCAGACTTTTTAAAAACATTTTAAGAACTTACCTTCCATTCTTGAAGTCTGTTAGAAATCATAGAATCGTAAGAATTCCTATGAAAATTTTGATGCTTGAAATTAAAAATTTTTGAAATCAATCGCCATGGCTCACAGGAAATTTATTCAGTCAACCCCACAGAATAACAAAGAGAACATGTGGAGGAAATTACTCTTTTCTTATACTTATTTTAAGGCATCTCCTATAGGTCTCATCCCATATGAGATGATGGACTCAACAGGTCTTTGTTCTGAGCTGGTATATCTACATACGTTTTCTTATTTAGATAAACTGCATCAAGATGGGTTGCTTCAAGATGGTTTTGGCCAAGTTAAGGGATCTTCCAAAAAACCTTAGGAAAAATAACACGGGGTGGCTCAACAATCTATTTCACCTGTCCAGTAGCTCCTCTTCAAAAGTTATTTTAGACGGAGGCGTTTTACCTAATGATAAACTTTAGGAGCCACTCCATTCTCTTCAACTGTAAAAGCAGAAGAATAGGCTTGACAGAAATATTAGGTAGCTCTGATCATCACTAATAATCCCTACCCTTAGGGAACTGCAGGTGTGGATGTTTCAGAAGTATAAAATTCCACGATGAATCTCTATCTTCATAAATCTCCTAAATGTATCCAATATTGTACTGTAAGGTGTGATTAAGAACGTATTTTGATTGTCCAGAAGAACCAAATATAAGTATACCAAACCAAATTGAGAAAAGAAACATAGAATAATGTCACTGTCTTGAATCACTATAACATCCCAATCAAACTTGGGCTCAGTTTCCACTTTCACAGAATCACAGAATCACAGGCTGGTTGAGCTTGGAAGGGTCCTCTGCTCCATCTCCATCCTCTCATCTGCTCCAACCTCCTGATAAAACAGTGACACCTAGAGCAGGTTGTGTAAGAACATGACACTGAATTTTGCTTTGGAAGCTAGTATCTATCTCATAATTATTTTTTTCCCCTTTTAATTTGCTTCTAGTGTGAATGCATGTATTGACAGAGTTACTGCATACAATACTGAAAAATAATCCCAGCCGTTGGGTAGAGAGACACATACAGAAGACGACAGTCTGTAGAGCACTTCAGGAATCTCACCAGCATTTGTCCCATCTAACTGACTTCCCAGACCAGATCACCATTTTGAAGTATCTTGATACAGATCCAGCAGTGTAAATACGAGCTTTGCTGTGCACTTGCACTGTTGATTCAGCTGCAGTGGGTATCCGGTCATTTGTGCAGAGAATTTGTAGGCAGATGGCCATAATTCTAGCCAAATCATTCCCTTCTGTGCTTGGCTACAGAAATTGGCATACTTTCACCATATTAGCCCAGTAGGCCATCTGGATTCATCCAGACTTGCGACCCTTTTTCTGGCACTTTTAACTATTGTACAATGTCTCAGCTTGTTGGCAATCATGAGAATTTTTCAAAAATTTGTCCTGATGTACCATGAACTGCCATTTCTTTTGCTGCCAGTTTTTCTTCTAATCTGTTTCAAGACATTGAGAAGCAGACAGTGCTGTGAAGTTTGTTCTCCTATGGAAAACAAAGCCTGGGAGGGAAAACTGGAGGTTTCATTTCACAGCCAATTTTTCCAAGTATGCATAGCAATCTGACCATGGAGATGTGGCTATCCTTCCTGTGCACTACTCTGAGCTCTGTTTCAGATGGCAGAGACCTCATGGACCTCTTTAAATGAAAATGTTGTCTGAGAGCCCTGCAAACTAATTTCTACCAAAAGGGATCCAGAATTAGATGCAATGGAAATGGCAGCCTGAATTAAAAAATACAAGATAAGGAGGAAAGGTTGCATATTTAGAATAAACATTTTGAACATAGTATCAGAAAATTTCAGGTAAGCTACCTAATAATTTTCTGGATCTCTAGTTGTGTTCAGTGAAGAAGAAAGAAACATGAGGATATGAATGGTGAGGTGCTAGGTATCATAATCAAGGCATGGGATTAACTGGAAATAAATTAATCCAAAAAGAAAGAAAGAGAAAGAGAAAGAAAGAGAGAAAGAAGGACATAAAGAAGGACATAAAGAAGGACATAAAGAAGGAAGGAAAGAAGGAAAGAAAGGAAGAAGGAAAGGAAGGAAGGAAGGAAGGAAGGAAGGAAGGAAGGAAGGAAGGAAGGAAGGAAGGAAGGAAGAAAGGAAAGAAGGAAGGAAGAAAAGGAAAGAAGGAAAGAAGGAAAGAAAGAAGAATGGAAATTCAGATAGTAATCTATACAGAGGGCAGGGAGAAGGTAACACCTTCCCTGCTAGTTGGAGCATACTACCATTTTCTCTAAAGGAATGCAATTTATATTCAACTTCTGCATAATATAACACATTATTTATATTACCAAGGGCATTGGAGATCTTTCTGCCTTTTTTCTTTTTCTCTCTCTCTCTCTCTTTTTTTTTTCTTTTTTTAAATAAGACTATCCTGATATCCTTGTCTCAGACTTGGATAAAATAATGCTTTATTTAGTTATGAAATTAAATACTCTAAAGCTCTTGAGATGACAGCCATTAGAGCCCAGCATGACTAAATACTATTCACCTAACATAACATTATCCATCAAGAATCCAACACACACACGCACAAATGGCCCACACCCAGTGCACCCAGCCAATACCTAATCTGTTGAAAATTAAGCTAGTAATGTATGTTAAAACATTTGTGGGAAGTTTGGATCCCAAGATATTTTGCTACAGTCTATGAGCCCTTCAATTAATTCATTACTCATTTTCCCCACTTGCTTATTCATAACCAGAGGCTATTGTCTTGTGTTTCTGACATCACAGTCCGTTGCCTTAGGAACAGTGATGATGTCACAAGGGTAGAATTAGCACCTATTAATATGAAGAGGCACAGAGAAGAGATGAATAATGGGCTTGGGGACTGAATTAGACACAAATTACTAGGAATTTTTTGGACAGGAAAAATACTTGAAAGGTAAATGGGGCTTATATTTAAATATTATGTTTTCATTGCACTTGGACAGCACACAAAAGTTGATATTTGAGCAATAAAATTATAAATACTGGGGTGAGAACAGCTGTAGGATCATGAAAGTTTTTTTCCATGGAAATGAGCCAAAAATTATGACTTTATTTTGAACACTAATGGATAAAAGCATGTGCCCTAGAATCCAGCAAGGTAAGGAATTAGCCAACATCCAGGTATGTGAAATTCTGAGTCCCACAGACCATGGTTCAGTGGGGTATTACATTATTTCTAACATCACTGTCCTCTTTTTCATAGAGATGCCTTTCCATTCACGCCTGCTCTTTGTTTCTGGGTTGTTTTTTTTTAGTTTTCTGCTTTGTCAAACTTCTCAAACTATTAATCTAGATTAAGATAAATTAACAGGATAAGTATGTACGTACCTTCTAATCAGTATGAATAAAACAATTTCTGAAAAATTGGTTTCTCTGAAAAGAAGCCTATGGATTCTGATACACAACAATCTAGAAGTGTAAAGATTGTGGATTTTATTTTTTATTTTTTATTTTTTTGCTTTATTTTCCTTTCCTGTGAAAGAATGACTAGCACAGGTTCATTTTGTCAGATTACTTTTCAACTGTGCATCTTGGATGCACACCACCAACTTTGGATGTCTTCCTCGCTTGGAGCCTTTCTTTTGAGATCCAGACCATAGTGTTCTTGCAAAGTATTCCCAGGCATATGAAATCCTTGTTATTACCAAGCCTTGGGTAATATAGGGTATTTAATATAGGATATTAGGTACAATGTGACAGCCACTGTTACCCAAGGAGAGGAATTTGTGCACTGAGCTACTGCCTCTGTCCTATGGTTGGGGCCATGAATATCTGATTTAACCCATCATACTGTGCAATCACTTCTCCACTTGTTGCAGTTTGCTTATTGGCAACTTTTCTCCTTTCTGTCCTCTCAGTTTCTCGTTCTTCTTGGCATTTGTCAAGACATATTTTTTCCTCCCAGTCACAAACAGGATGTCATTTTTATTTTTGTAAAATAGAAAAGGGAATGTGCAGTTTTCAGGGTTTTTTTTTTTTTTTCTTTTCAGTTTTTAATGTTTTTCTTTCCCCCCCTTTTTTTTTTCTTTAACAAAAGCTTAGCACTATTTTGGAAAACAAACAAACAAACAAAAAAACAGCCATTCTTCTTCCTCTTCCGCTGCAATCTGCAGTTTCAAAGGTGGATCAGGCTCTGAGATTTTAAACTGAAATTTCCTAATATTTCTACAATTCCCTCAACAGGGCAATTCCTAAACCAGGGTTGGGAAGGCTTCACTAGTTACCCCAGGACTTACTGAAAGCAGGAACACTCTGTCCTGTGCACCTTTGCTTGCTGAGTGTTTTTGCAGAGGTGCAAGGCTTGCCACTCCATCTTTTGGCAGGTGATGCATAACGCCAAGCCGTACAGTCTGGAGGGTGAAAGCCAAGTCTGAAGGAAGCTGTCAGCATGGAGGGATGTGCTGCGACTGTTGGCTCCATGTTTGTCCCCACGGACCTCAGACAGGCGGTGAGAAGTGCGTTTTCACTCCTGACTCTTGACACAGGGATCAAGCTGCCCGTCCCTTTCCGCCGTGGGCACTGATACCAGTCCCTGTGTGCTTGATGTGGAGCCATGCTGGCTTTACTGCAGGAGATAGTGGTGACCTGATGTGTCCTCGGCTTGTCACTCTTCATGCTGACAGTCCAGAGGAGAAGCAGCCATCCCTGTGGCAGTAATCAATAGCCTCTTGGAGGTTATGAAAGTGTACGTTCTCTCTGCACATCTTTTTCACATATGGAAAACTATGTAAAATATACATATTGACATCACCAGGTGCTGGAATGTTGAATAGCTGTCCCAGTTCTTCATGTATAAAGGAGAAAAACATCTTAAAATTAGGCTAAATCCATGCATCTTTGCAATGGGCATTGCCTCTTTATAGCCCTCCCCACCTATTAATCTATAAAGATACACATGCAGAGCATTTCACCCATATGCACACACATGACTTCATGCAGTCATGCTCTTGATTTGCCTGTACAGACAAACATGCACAGACACTTAAAGACAGCCACTGCTTTGATCACCTTATATTTTAAATAGAGAAAGCAGCATTAGCTTTATCCTGTTTCACAGATGAGATGAACCAAGGATCAGGGAGATTAAGGGTCAGGTTTGCAGAAGTATCTCAGCAGCCATGGGAGAATGAAGTCCAAGTGCCTGCTTTTAATAATCCTTCCCAACATCTCTTTGAACTTACTCAAGGTCAACAAGGTAGGCCTTGGTGTTGTTTCAAAGATCCTTCACCACTGGGCTGACCTTCAACAAACTTTAGCTCAGTTGTGTGACGACTTATAGGCAGGGTGTATTCAAAATATTAACAAATAATAAACAACATCAGGCATCAAAATGTCATACGCAGGGTGAACGGCACATATTTACAATCATCCAACAACAACAGAGGCACCAAAGAAAGCTGCAGCAGTCTAAAGCCCTGGGCTGCTAAATTCTACTGCTGCTCCTGTTTTATAGAAGGCTCCCTGCCTCCAAACAGGCAGCACGATGGAGCTTTCACACTGAGTGACTCACTCTGACTGTGAGAAGCCAAAGCTCCCCACCTCTCAATCCTTCATTTATCATGTCCCTTCCCTCCCTGCTGTCTGCAACTGCACAAGCATCATCACTACAGGCCAAGCTGGGGAGCCAGCAGCGCTCCATGGAAGACAGAAATGGTGAAACAGGCAATATTTTTGCTTGCTTTTCCTTCTATCTACATCTGATCTTGTATTTAGCACCAGACTAGATGGTCATAACAAATCCTTCTGGCTCTATAATCTGCTCATTTCATTGAATGCACTATGTGGAAAGTATTCTTTCTTCTTTGCCTGTATAAATATGTAGGTATAGATAGATAAATGCACATACATACATATAAAAGTATGCACACCCACAGTCTGTACAAACACATACGTATTTTATAACCCTTCACCTACATATCTATAAATCTCTGTTCTAGTTTTCCCTCAAGTTAAACTTCAGATTATTAATGATAAAATATGAACTAATGCTCCTAATATTCCTGTCTAGAAAGGGTGGAATTTCATTTGAGCTAATGCTAATCCAGTGGAAGTAGAATTTTAAGCCTAGACTAGCTTTCTGGACTACTTCTTTATAGTCAATAAAAAGAAATGGGAACATCCAGGTGGCAATTTGGCTATCTGTTGTATTATTTACTGCCTAGGTGTACACATTAATTGGGAAGCAGATCTATTAGAGAGGGAGGTGACACGAATTTGGAATGGATAGGGTAGAATTTAGGGTCTGATGCAGACCCTTAACACCAATTGTTTTCAGTGCTGGTGTGTTCATGCAAACCAGCTGTGCAATTCCCATTATCCTCATTGGAGATATCCTCAGCACAATTAAATGGAACCTAAATAGACATCTAGCAGCTGATGGGCTGAATTTTGTCCTCAGAATCCATTAACTAAATTGACTACAGCCAAGATGTCATCCTCCAAATACACATACCTACAGCCCCTCTGGAGTCTATGAGATATCAAGACATCTGTGCAAGGCTCACAAGCATGACACAAGAGGCCTGGGAAACCCATATCGTTCTTAAAAAAATAAAGAAAGAAACAACATTAAGGCTTTTTTCATGTTAAATACCTACTACTGAACCAGCCTTAGATCACTGTGGACTGCGAGGGAAAATGAGAAATGAACAGCTTATGCAGAAATGGTGGGATGAACCTGAATCCCTGAGATTTGAGAAACATGAGGTCCCACTGGGACCTCATCTCACCTCTACCTGCCTCTCTGGAAAAGCAAAGATCTGTTATAGCCTCTGTTTCTGAAATAAATGCTCGATGTAGACACTGTGAGTATTTTAGAGGAAGAACAGATGGCACGAAAACAGTGTTGGTGGTTTCACTCCAATAGAGAGCTGAACTCCAATGTGCTGCTCTGTCACTTCAAAAGGACGGGGTGGGGGGTGGGGGAAATATGAAGGGGGAAAAAAAAAAGCTTATAACGACAGGGTGATCACTCACCAAATGATGCTGTAGACAAAACAGACTCAATATAAGAGAGATCAATGTAATTTATTGCCTGCTGCTAACAGACTAGAGAAGTGAGAATTAAAAGCACAGTAAAAACACCTTCCCCCACCCACATCCACCCTCTTCTTCTCAAGAGGCACAAAGGAATGGAGAAGTAGGGTTGTGGTCAGTGCACAAGGCTTCATCTCTGCTGCTCCTTCATAGAATCGCTGATGTTGGAAAAGACCTCCAAGATAATGTATTCCAACTGTCCACCTACAAGTGGACTAAATCATGCCCACTAAACCATGGCCCTCAGTACAACATTTAAATGTTTCTTGAACATCCCCAGGAACAATGATTCTACCACCTTCTTGGGCAGCCCATTCCAGCTCATGACCACTATTTCAGAGAAGAAATTTATACTAATATCCAACCTGATCTTCCCCTGCTGCAACCTAAGGCCATTTCCTTTAGTCCTATCACTAGATTATGGTCACTCCCTTCTCCTGCTCCATGTGGTTCCCTCCCATGGAATGCCATCCTTCCCAAAATGATCTCGTGGGCTTTCCACAGGCTGTAGCTCTTCAAGAGTTTCTCCAACATGGCTCAGTACCACAGGGCCCACCCTTCAGGCACTGCTCCAGCACAGATGCCCACAGACAGCATCACTCTCCACATCCTCCTCCCCAACCATGGGCTCCTCTCCACAGATTACATCCCTGTCCCAGGGTTGCTCCTGCAGGGGCTCTCCAAAGGTTTGGCCTCCTCACTACCAAAACTTGCCATGTAAACCTACATACAAACATCCTTAACAAGACAAAGAATCATAGAGTGTTTTGGGTTGGAAGAGATCTTTAAGATCATCACCCCCTGCTATAGGCAGGGACACCTCCCTCTAGTCCAGGCTGCTCACAGCCCCTTCCAGCCTGCCTTTGAATGATTCCAGGGAGGGGACATCCACAGCCTCACTGGACAACATGTTCAGTGCCTCACCACTCTCACAGTAAAGAATTTCTTCCTAATATCTAATCTAAATCTACCCTCTTCCAGTTTAAATCCATTTCCCCTTGTCCTGTTGCTACATGCCCTTATAAAAATTCCTTCCCCAGCTTTCCTGAGCATAAGCATGAGGGCAGTCTTTATGTTGACCTTCTTCAGACTGATAATCCTTAAAGCTTTCAATGGATCTGATTTAAAAGCATTCTTCTGTCTAGTTGGATGATGCTAAGAGCAAAGCAAAAAGTAAATTCTATGCAACAGTTCAATTCTGGGCATCTTTTTCTTAAAACCATATTCTGAGAACTGTTGGAGGTTTGTCCTTCATAAGCAAATAAGAGTCTCTTCCACTTCACCTGCAGACAAATTGATTATGGCAGCTGAATGAGTTCACTGGAAACATACAGAAAACGTGGTGACTCATAGAACGATACAGGTTGGAAGAGACCTAAACGTGTATCTTGTCCACATTTCACTCCATGCCACACTAACAAGAACACATTTTTGACATCAGCTTTTAGATTGAAGTTTACTGCTAATACTTTTCACTGAGTATTTGAATTGATAAGTAGCTATTGTTTAGCAATACTTGTCAGCATCATATAGAAGAAAAGTGATGTGCATGTATGAAAGTATAACTTTACTTGCATGATGAATTCATATTTACATAGCTCTTTGAGATCAGAATATAGGATGTTCCTCTACAGGCAGGACAACATGATTGCCATTTGTGAGAAGAGCAGACATCTCTCTGTTTCCTTGCTGGAACTGTCCATCACATGGAATAACAACCCCAGAACTTCCCAGTTACAAGGTAAGAAAACTTAAGAGACTCCAGTATTTCCTTCCCTAGGCAGAAGAATTCCACAGTCATTATGCCTTTGGTGCAGGAGCTGAGGTCATGGGTGTGATTCAGTGGCTATGAATTTTGCAGAGAAGGGCAAGGCTCTCAGAAGGTTAAGCTGATGTCTGGGCAGCAGCCTATAGCAATTGGAAAACCACACACTTTTCTGCCTGTCCTGCTGGCTGCAAAACCCAGTGTAAGAAGGCTGAGGCCGGTTGAAGACACGATGCAACGGTCAGGCAGTCCAGACAAGTGTGGATGTTTCAACCAGAGCATGAAGTTCACCAGAGGGTCATTGCAGCTGTCAGCTGCTTCTGAGGCTTGATCTAAAACCCGATGACCTCAATACAAGGCTTTCCCTTGCTTTTCATTTGGCAGGTTTTGAGTTAGTGCCTTGGTATACTAAAGTTTTGAAATGATGACAAAATTAGTAGTTCTCACCTGTGGCTTAGCCTATTTTTGCAACCTGTGAGCACTGACATTAGCTGTGCATTTCTGTTCTGCACTGTGGCCTCTACTCTAAACCCAGACATCTTTGTGCCACGTAACATAAATTAATTTCAGCAGTAAGACAGGCAAATATCTAGTAAGTCTTTATAGTCTAAACCAACTTAATATCTTGGGGAACAACAACAACAACAAAGCAAAACAGGTGTTAATCCAAAAATATTTGGAGCCACTGTTGGCTAAATTATGTATGGAACATTCCCTAAAGGCAGTATTCAGCTTGAGGAACTCATTGCAATGGAAAAGAGGTAATATCCTGATTTTTTTTACACTGTGAAGCAAAATATATCTCTATGGACAAGGAGTAAATTGCTGTGTTGTGTTCCCTTAAGAAATCAAACCTTTCATAAAAAACATCATTTTTCCAATTTAATATCCATTGACTTTTTTTTTTTTTTTAAATACGAACTTATTCTGAATCTAGTTTTTTTGGTTGTTTGTTTAGAATCATTTTTTCTTATTCCCAGATAAATGTCAGAGAATATAAAAAACTTTTTTATTGTTATCATTAATATTGTTTATTTGGAGACAACATGCAAAATGTTCTGGGATTCTTTGCTTTTGTTCTCAGGACATTTGAGAAGGAATGACCAAAGTTGTTGGTTATTCACTGGAGAGATGCTCATCTTTAAAGTGTTCTTCAGACTGAAGAGTTCTCTGTCACTTATTCCAGGGTCTTCTCACTTTGAATAAAGCATTGTGTCTGCTTAAAAATTGTCCTGAATTTTTGATTCAATACCATGATAAGGTTTTTGTATTTTGTTTGGTATGCGATTCTTTTGTGGAGAGGAGAGGAGAGGAGAGGAGAGGAGAGGAGAGGAGAGGAGAGGAGAGGAGAGGAGAGGAGAGGGAAGCGAGGGGAGGGGAGGGGAAGAAACCCAAAACACCTGTAGATGCAATTGAATACCAACAAGTGAAGCAGAATCAAAGTCAGGTATCTTTGCTGACACACCACAGTCAGATTTACACACGGTACTGTAAATCACATTGGAAAAAGGCCAAATATCCTGTGCTATGATCCCCTGTTAGAACTCTATCTTCTGACTTTAGAGATAGTCCAGTGCTATACCTTCATCATTCTATCAGCTCCTGGCTTCCAAAGTATTTCACAGTCACAGTCATCTAAGGTGCCCACCACCCCCACACACACATTCCTGCACGGTGGTAATGGTCTCTCAAATGATGAAAACAAAGAAGTAGTCTGACATAAAACTTTATGCCTGCTGAGGCTCCAAGCTATGTAGCAGTAATATTTACAAGGCCTCTGTCGGCTGGGCTGCCTCGCTCTGTTAGGCACCACACTGATGTGCACTTTATGCAGCTGGATGCATGACATTACCACGCAGGCCAGGTCCCTGATTTATAGTGTCTGGTAACATCTCCCTAGTGCTGGAATAGAAATGTCTGTTAATTTTGGATGGTAAAGGAGCATTGGTTTTGCTCTGACCTATAAATGATGAGATTGCAATCAATCTTTAAACTTTTTTTTTTTTTTTTTTTGAAAGCTCCTTCCCATCTCCTACCTTTTTACATTTTGGGATCTGTCACCTTCAGAGTATTCCAGAAATAACTGATCTAAAACCTGAGGTTTTCAGACACCGAAAATGAATTTAAGCATTCACTAAGGTGACTAAATTAGAATGAAAAAGAGGTTATCCACATGTGAACATCACCGAAGTACAGATGAGTTGAGTAGAGGGTTGGATTCACTTCATCTGACTCCAGTTGTCTCAGGTAGATTTGGGAACCTGTGTAGGCTAGAGTCAATGAAAAGGATCATGCTTTTTAGAGAAAATATTGTCCTATCCTGAACTGGATAGTTATGAAGAACGGGATTTTGAGGTGCATATCTTATTTCACTAACCATGGAGTGAAGAAAATGAATCATTTTCTCAGACTAGACAGCAAAATTTGAGATGTCTACATCAAGCTTTTCCCGTGCAAGACACTCACACTGTCTAACAGAGCTCTTCATGGTGCACAGAAGTCAACTGGAGGGACACATATGCATAAACCTCAACACTTCCTGAGATGAACCTTCTTTAAAAAGAAATAGGATAGCTTCATAAAAGTGTGCAATAATTCTATCCTTAAAGATCTTTATGAAAAAAAAAAGGAATAATAAATCCTCCTACCGTCTTTGGCTTCTGATTAACTGTCAGACTTTCTGCAAATTTTGGGAACATGTAATATAGGATCTAAATCTTGAGGACTACATATAAAAACAGCAACCACTGCCATACAGAAGACCTCAAAAGACCTCAGCTTATACAATAGATCTCAGCTCTAACCTCAGATATTTGCCAGCTCAAATTAAAATTGTCCTAATTCATATGTTCTCTGCTAGCTTCAGAAATTATTTCTCCATTACATCATATGCTGTCTCTGCCATTTCCTTAACTTTTAAAATCATTTATACAAACCCTCCCAAACATAGAAAAGACTTTGCTCACTTTCTTTGGAAGTTTTCTCACCAGCCTACAGTGTCAAACAATATGAAAGAAAATAAGTATCTTAAAAAAGAAAAAGTATTGTGATATTCAGAAATTTAATGATGAGATGGTGAAATAATACTTACTAAGAGAGTCTCTCATGGCTTGAAACTCCTGGGCAAAATTATTAATGATACAAATTATGTTTGCTTCTTTGAAGTCTCAGAGCCTGAGAGAAGGAGAATTAAACTTTTACTTTTGAAGAAGGAATCAGAATATTATGATTTTTTTGCAATTTGTCCATTGGTACTTGCTTTCTTTTCTGCCTCACAGTGGTGATTTACAATCTTGTGCTCAGACTTGTGGTTGTACTTATTCTCCATCGAACTGTTTTTCCACTGCTAGGAACTTCTCATTGAGAACTGCACACTGAAAAACAATTGCGTGATGGAAAATTTACTAAGCTCTATCACTTGAAAGTTCCAGTTCATGTTCTTGAAGTGCTAGAAGATGACTTGTTTGTCTATCCATCTCTTTGTCCATCCATTTAATACCAAATATTCAAGTTTAAAGGAACTATTTTCAATTAATAATTTTTTTAGAACTCATTTGCCTCTCATTTCAACCTTCCTTTCTTTTTCAATGGTAAAAGCTTTTCTTCATCCTATTTTTTTTTATTTTGTGTGTGTGTGTGTGTGTGTGTCCTGGATTTTTACTTGATCTTAGATCTTTGGGGACATTTTAGTTGCTTTATTGTTTTCCATAGTACTACACACATTATTTATTTCAATATGGCTTTATGAAATCCCATGTGTGCTGTAGTAATGATGGGAAAAATAACTTACAAGGATGATAGTCCCAGTTATGACTGTTAAGGAATATTAAAGAAGGTCCTCTGGGAACTTGGGCAGCCTGGGACATAGTGGTATAGCTTACTTGAAAGGCTGCTGTGATATGTCCTTTTTATTGCTGATATTCTGAAACACATCAAAAAAAGGAATGTTAATTCCCAGTCTAATGCTTCACGACAAAACTCTATCCAGGAAAAAAAATTGCAGTCCAATTCAAAGATCCATACAAAGACTCTCACAGGATTGCACAGACTTTCAAACTGTCCTCAAAGATTTACCTCAATTTATGAAATAAGAAGGCAGCAGTTCTTAAAATGGTATAAGCAGGAACTATCAGCATGTCTTTCGCTATGAATCTTCTTCCAAATTGTCCAGGGCTCTATCAATCCTTCAGGCTTGGGTTGAGCTAAGTTGTTCTGAACAGTCACGCTACACAGATCTGATCTCTCCAAGGTCTCTTTTTTTTTGCTGTAGGTTAAAGGGAATAGTTAAAAAAAAAAAAAAGATGCAACCCATGAATGTCAGTGGTTCATTTCCTCCCTTGGATTGGTCCAAAGTGCTTTTCTAGTGATTGAAAAGGATAGAACAGGCATCTACACACCTGTCTGTCCCTTGTTTGTAATAAGGAAATGGGGAGACTGTTCTCCAAAACTCGTGAATCTTTGGGTAAGTTTAGTTAAACTTGGCTTTCAGATAGGCTTCAATAAAGTAAGAGCACAGGCTGCTTCTTGAGAAGGATTTGGAGCTGTTTTTCTTTTGCTTTGGATATGCTGGAAGATTTTTCCCATTCCTGCCTGCACTAATCCATTCCCTCAGGAGGAAATCCTCATTTTCCCAAAGAGCTGCACAAAAGCACGTACAGTTCCAGTTGATATTATGAACTAATAATTGCTCCCAAATTGTTTATAATTTAAACAGGTAAGAGAGAGAAACGGGGTGGCAGGGACAGAGATCTGCCCCAGGTCACATACCAGAGCCAGACCTACCATCAAGGTTCTTGTGAGCAGGGTAACACACATCACAGAAAGAGTAACCCTTATTGCAGAGGACTGAGACAAACTGAAGATTTATGACATAGAAAAGCTGCTGCTTTGGACTGTTTATACTGGTTAGGAGGAGTGTCTCTTGGTCATGGGATATAGAAAAAAATCTCAAAGCCACTAAAAACTGTGCTCTTCTAGTAGCACTGACCATGTTCAGGAGGGATGGAGAGAAAAAAAGGAAACAGAGTATGCTAATCTGAGAAGAGACAGAGTTTACAACTTGGTGCACTCTGCCTTCAGCTGATGATGGATTTCAGTACGTATAAACCTCCAAATCCTTCTGCTAAATGCCTCATCAAAAAGCTCTTCATGAATTTCAATTGCATCTCCAATGAACGCTTGCTAGCTCTTCTCAAAATATTTCCAAAACTTTTTTTTTTTTTTTGAATGTGTTCTATGTTTTCCATGTGTAACGCAAGGGAGATTTAGATTAGACATCAGGAGGAAGTTTTTTACTGAGAGAATGGTGAGGTGTTGGAACAGAATGCCCAGAGAGGTTCTGGATGTCCCAGCCTTGGAGGTGTTTAAGGCCAGGTTGGATGGGTCCCTGAGCAATCTGATCTAGCACTTGATCTACTGGCTGGCAACCTGTGGCAGAGGGCTTGGAACCTGATAACCTTTGAAGTCCCTTCCACCCCAAGCCACTTTGTGATTCTGTGATATATATTTACATGACATTTATGCCATACTTAAATACAATTAATATTACTGTAAGCTATGATAATTTATATATGTTGGTCACATCAGCTATGTAAATTACCTCCTTGGCAACCTCTTCCAAGAGAACTGCACCATTTCATCTCAAGCAGCTCCTCCAGCTCACATTCCCTCCTCCTCGGGAGAAAAGTGTGAGGAAGTCATCTGCAATTGAATGTGGTATTGGGAAAGGCTAGATGGTGTTCATAAAGACTTAAGTACCGTGCCAAATTACCATTTCCTCACACAGAAAGATGCTGTGAAACAAAGCTGTTATGCAGATACTGAGTATTTTTAAGGAAAGAACCAGCAGCCATTACATTGTGGTTGCCATTAGGAGTATCTAACACCTTCCCATTAATGTGAATATATGATAAGCAGCAGTGTTTCTCATCTTCCAGGGAAGATTCAGGCTGGATATTAGGAAATACTACTTCTCTGAAAGGGTGGTCAGGCAGTGGAATGAGCTGCCCAGGGAGGTGGTGGAGTCACCAACCCTGGAGGTGTTCAAGGAACGTTTGGATGTTGTGTTGAGGGATATGGTTTAGCGAGAACCATTGGTGATAGGTGGATGGTTGGACTGGATGATCTTATAGGTCTTTTCCAACCTTAGTGATTCTGTGATTCTGTGATTCTGTAATAAAAATTAGGAAGAGCTGCTGAAGTCAGAGAAGCAAGG